AGTCTCAAATGAGCAAACTGAGGCTTAGGTAAAGTGACTTGCTCAAAGGCCTGGGCTCATCAGTGACAAAGCCATGGCTCACCTCCCAAGCCCAGGCCAAACTGGTTTTCCTTTTTCATTTCATGCTCTAAAAATTCTTCTTCACCCCTACATGATTATTCACCCATGATTAATGCTGTTTCTATCATTCATTTTATAGGTAACTCTCACATTTTGTTACACTTATTTGATGGGGTTCCAACATTGTTTTATGCAGTATCATTTATTTAATAGTGCACTCACCATATCTGACTCTTCACATGATACCCTAAATGTTTACACACACACAGAGGTTTCAGAGTTTTCTCCTCCACAGCACAGACCTCTATCCTGTCCTTAGGCCTACATGACACAAAACTATCATATTTACCCCACAACTGCACTGAGGGGAAAATCTCCTTAAGAAGCATATGTTAATAGGCTGGTTTGAACTTCTTTCCTAAAACAGGTTTCACAAAGACAAGAAAAAAATCTTTTATGATGTGTTCTCAGCTAATCACTGACTTTTTTTTCCAAAACTGGCAACTGTATTTCTCAAAACTTCTCTCCCCTCCTCCCAAAACATGCCCCTCTTTGCCCAAGCTGCTCTGCTCACTTTTGGCCTACCTGGGCATCCTAAGCATTTGCTCAATCTCTTATTCTTTTCTGGGGTGGAGGGGGAGCCCCCCTTATGCAAGATACTTCCAGGTCCAGTTCAATTCTTCATAAATCCTTTCCTAGTATACCAGTTCAGTCATTTCATCTTCTTCAATTCTCTGCAGCAGGCATTTGACCCTTTAAATTTGCTCTTTTGTACTGTTATCCATCTTTTTACAGATGACTGACCTCTCTACGTGTTTAGATCATAAACCCTTCAGGACAAGGGCCTGCTCTAACAAAACAGCGTATCTTCGGCACCCAGCAAAAAGTACTAGCACAGAGCAGGCCCTCAATAAATGTGGATAAAAATTTCACAATTCCTTCCTTCCCTTTGCAAATTCAAGGCCCTCCCATCTCCTAATATTCAAACAAACTAGAAGCCAAAGAAATAGAACCTGTTGTTGATTATCTAGTTGGAGATGGGCCTTCACCGTGTTTCCTGTATTTTAGAATTATTTCTGTTAGGACTCCACCAGAGGGTGGAGAAAGACAGTGAGGTAAAGCTCAGGCCAGTTTAGTTGCTGATTTACTAACATATCTGATTTAAAATTACAGCCAAAATGAGATTTTATGTTACCAGAACACTTCAAAGAACACCACTTGGGTCTCACATTACCTACGATAATACTAGAATCCTGAGCTGACTGAACTGGGAGGGTGAGGAACGACCAAGCACATACGCTGGGAGATGATCAGTCCACATTTTCTGTTCATCCTCCAGCAACGCAAAGGAAATTTAGTAAGGACCTGACCTGGTTTCATTTCATTTCATTTTGTATTGCTAGGTCTCCAAGAGGCACAGAATGATATTGCTGGCAGGGGCTTCACATAGTAGAAGAGTTTGAAACTGAACATAACGAGATAAGATCAGTACAGAAGCCAGCAGCCAGATGACTTGGGCATATAAATCAGCAAACCCATACAAAGAGCTGTGTCACAATACTTAAACAAATCTTTCAGAGAAAGGATATTTTTAGGCCTTGAGTGATATACTATCAGATCTAGGCCATTATGATGCTATCTTTAATACACTGAGAGACCCAAGGTAAAATAAATACCTTCAGGAGTTCCAAAAGCAATCACAACTCGACTCTGCTCAGGGAATTATTTCTAGTCTTTCTTCTGAGCTTGCATATATTTTGAGCATGCTGCCCTCCTGATGATTCTAAATCATGGAAAGCTAATTCTAGAATCATGAGGACTGTTCTTTCATTACCCAAAGTCATAAATTATTTTTCCTACTGTATATATTACTGGAATATTACTAGTAGCACATCTGTTACTCTAAAACAAGCAACTTAAAATCAAAGCCTGTTGGTGGGGAAAGGAACTCTAGAAACAATCCAGTAAAGCCCCGTTTAATAGAACAAGAGTCCTGAAGTAAGCAACAGTACAAAGTGACTTAGTAGCTGAAAGAATATATGCCAAGCACTAAGAGTTTTACCTGTATTGCTCATTTCCTCACAACAGCCCTATAATTCAAGCACAATTATTATCTCCACTCTATAGATGAAGAAACTGAGGGACAACAAAGTTGTTATATGCCTAACATTGTATAGCTGATAAGAGGACCATTTTTAAAGGTCCACAAACCTAAACATTAAAAAAATAAAGGTATGAAAAATTTATGAGCACATCTCACTTTTACATTTTAAAGTTTGTTTGTTAAATGGAAGTCTTTACAACCCACTGAACTATTTGGTTGTTTCTGAACCCAGTACTGGCCACCCATTAATACTAGAGGCATGGGAAGAGGTAGTTAAATGGATAATCTATGCATTTTTTCTTTTAGTCCATCTGCAGAACTGCTTTATTAATCAGCTACTTAAGAATATTTAATAAGCATTTATTATGCTAGAGGCACTGTATTAGCTCTGACCCAAGTCATCAAAGATAGAGCAAAGTAATACTTCCATCCAAGCATAGATCAGTGGACCACAGGATTCCAAAGCCTGGCTTGGTTGTGGCTCTGCCTCCTGCACGGATCAGAGTTACTTTCTTAGATGCTCCTAGAACAAAGCTGAGCCAGAACCTGTGTGGGAGATTCACCTGCTGTGACTTCCTGGCAGACACAGGAGAGCAGCAAGAGGAAGGAAACAGTGGCAGAATACCTGGCAGGAAGTGAGAGAATTGAAATTTCTGGGTAATTTTATTATCTGTAACCTATCCCAAATTCCTCCGTCTGCAATGCAGAACCACTGCAATACATTTCCCATTCAGGGGGAGCCTTTCACTCAACAGAATAGGCTCATCTGCTTTCCTACAGTTTGTATTTGTTTCATAACAGGTTTCATCGAACAAGTGACCACAGATAAACAGCACTACAAATTGAGACACCAGCCCAGTGTTCATGCTTAAGGGTATTCAGGAAAAAAGACACTATTAAAAATGTCATAAGGTAACACAGTAGAAGAATGTCACACACAGGAATGAACAGTAAGTCACTACCAGTAGGCCATTCTCCAAAAGGAAAAGCAGATATTCAAGGACTGTTGCATATCAATAATAAGCAGAGTTGTGTCTATGTTGGCACTTCTGTGCTCAACAGAATGGCTTATTAAGCTAATACCTCCTCTTCAGTACAGGTCTGCCAGCACTTTGGAAATCATGGCAAAGTTATATTTTATTCACTCTTCTTTTTGCCACAAATCCCTATGAGAATAGTAGCCCCCAGTTTAAAGAACTAAGTTTCCTGTGAAACAGAGAGGATGCAGTCTGATACTTAACATACACATATTGGCTCAAGTTGGGAAGATGCAGATGTCCTACTAAAGCCAAATCAACAGAAATTAGTTGGGGTTAGCCCTGGCTGCCGTAGCTCAGTGGATTGAGCACAGGCTGGGAACCAAAGTGTCCCAGGTTCGATCTACATGCCTGGGTTGCAGGCCATAACCCCCAGCAACCGCACATTGAAGTTTCTCTGTCTCTCTCTATCTCCCTCCTTTCCCTCTCTAAAAATAAATAAATAAAATCTTAAAAAAAAAAAAAGAAATTAGTTGGGGTTATGGACGAGATGCCAGGTTCTGGTATTTTGCCAACTCCACCTCTACTCCATACCATCAATGGATCAACTTCAGTAAAACATAAAAATAGAATCCCTGTTTATTATGGAACAAATTAGAGTTTGTGGAATCTGGAGTGAGTGGGCAATTGAGAGAAAAATCAAACTGAGCAAGCTGAATTTGGAAATCAGCGAAACTTCATCTCCAATCTCCACAAACACCACTCATGCTATCCTGTGTTTGCCCAGGAAGGGCATCTATCTGCCACCAAAAAGATGCCCAGCCCCTGTTTTAAGGGACCTGGCACTCCACCCTGGTAATACCCCACAAACACTGCCACAAAGCCCAGTGAGTGAATCACTTCCAAGGCCCATCTTGTTGCATCATTCCAACAAACACCGTGAGTTACCCACCCACAAACAAGCCCCTTTCAAGAAAGCAAATGTCAGCGACAAGGCAAGTTGCTACTAAAAGTTTCCAGCTGCCGGGAAAAACACACTGCTGCTCAAACGTCACTCCTCTCCTGGACCATCCAATTGATCAGGCACACTGAGTTTCCCAATTTAGCAGGGCCAGCCCTGGCTGTGGAAAAGTTGATTTAAAACTTCATCTCCCTCACATCCAGGTGTCTATTCTCTAAAGATCTTAAACTACAACCAGATTAATCTCGGAGAAGCTTGCTTCATTTGCTTCAAATCCCCAAACTTCATAGTAATTTGCACTAAACTGAAGTTACCAACGGCTCCTGTCATTCCCCCTAACCCTTTATAAGAGGAGGCGAACCCTCAGGATGCCGGCTAGAAGAAGGGAGATGAAGAAGAGGATGAAGAGGCCCTTCCCTCTTGGAGCTTAGCCCATCCAAAGGGTCCGCAGGGCCATCTCCCAACCCTACGTTGCAGACTGGGAAAGGAAACCCCCATCTCCTTGCCCCTGCGCCCCTTCAAGCTACAGGTGTCCAGCCTCTCCACAAACCCCAGGAAAACAGGGCTGTGGGAGGGGCTAAGGGGGGGGGGGGTAATTTCCCATTTGGCAGAGAGAGGTGAATTGGCTGGGGGATGGGAAGCGGAGGTAGCGATCTCACTCCCAAGTAAGGGGCAGCAGTGGGGCGAAGACCTCCGGATGCAGGGTAGGATCTGGAAGTTGCTACCCCTCCAGTACCGTCGTTTTCTCCCCGTCCAACACCCCCGCCCATCTTTCCCACCACCTCTTAATATTTAAGACCCAGCAGGGTGGACTATTCCATCTCCGCCCAGCCCACTTAAAAGAGCATGGAGGAGGTGGCCGCCCGTCCACCTCCCTCCGTCCCTATCCCTCACTCACCAGGACCACCGAGCCCCGCACTACTTCCGACACGCTCTGCCGCAGCTCGGCCGCTGTGCCCGGCTTACTCAGCGCCCGGGTGAACTTCCGAGTCTCCGCCGAGGCGGGGAGCAGCGATAGCTGCGACATCCTCGCAGCTGCCGCCGCCGCCGCCGCCGCAGCGCCTGCTCCCGGAGTCTGGCCCGGCGGTGAGGCTGCCAGGTGCGTCCTCTGCGCCCCGCCCGCCGGAGGCTCCCAGCGCCTCCGCCTGTTTCCCTCTCAGCTAGTCCCGGGGACGCAGCCCAGGCCGCGCCCTCCGAGTAGTGTCACGCTGTAAGGCGACCCTATCCACGTCTGCAGTTCCGGGAGTTAGGAGCAGCACCTGGGCTCGCTAGAGGTTACGGTGGTTGTGGAGGCGGCGGCAACTCCCCCATGCCACCAGCCTCCCACCGCAGGCGCTGGCCCGGCCGCCTCTTCCGGGCGGGGTGTCGGGCTCGGCGTGAGGCGGGGCGGACGGAGGAGGGGGTGGTGCAGCAGGACCGCAGACTCAGCAGGGGTGTCCGGCCAGCACCGTGCTGCGCAGTGCGGGAGATGCACGCCGTGTGCCGCGCGGTGCTCCCAGCGAGGCTGGTGGGGACTCCAAGGAGCCCCTCCACACGGGTTAGATCCTCCCCGGGTCGCAGGCCCGATGGGCTAAGATGAGGGTGGTGCACGGCAGGAGGGCGCTTAAGCTCAGGGGAAGACCCTGGAACTGGTGCCTATTCCCAGGGACCCTGGGTTCCCTGACCGTGGAGCACCTCCAGAGCCCTGGGGACTCCGCGGTCACCCTCTCGGTCCGGGCGTGATGGCATCTTGTACCCCTGTAGGCCTGGGGCCTGTGGGGACGGAAGTTTCAAGAAAGTGGACTTTATAGGGCACTGAAAGAACACAGGGACGTTCAGAAGCCGCGTCGGTGCGGCCAGACGGAGCGCCCCAGAGGCTTCTAGAGAAATGTGTGAAGCTTCTGGGACCCTAAGAGCATCCAGCGATAAAGGACACTGTAGGCCGGAATCACTCGCTAATCATGCAGACACCCAGCTCGCAAGGGCGACCTGCTGCGTCACCTTGAACAGGATCAAAACTTCTGAGTTTTCTATATATCTCCTTTAAAGACAATCTGCAAGAGGCTGAAATGACAGAATATGCCTACCCAAAAGCTGGCGGCTGCGAGCAACCACCACTCGGAGGAATTTCTTCATATAGCCTTTCCTGCTTTCCCATCGCAAAGGACACTCATTACTTTTTTCTCTTTTCCCCTATTTTTTAAGGATAACCTGAGCAGCCTAACACTGACCCCGCGGGGAAACGTGCTGGGAAGGCGATTTTGCGTAGGGGCCTTAGCGCATGCTCAGTGGTTTGGATTTGGGCGGATTCTCGAAGGAGGGGGCTGGTTGGCCGGTTTGCGCAAGGCACGCCCCATACCCTGCTGATGGACAGCTCTTTACCTGCCAGCTTGGCTTCCGCAGTGTGAGCGTTCATCTCGCCACCCTTCAAGGGAATCCCAGTGGCTCCTACCGCCCTAGTGTCAGGGCCATTACTGCGGGGAAGGAGGCCGCTCATTGTGTCCCACCCTGGCAGAAAACCAAACACTGGCTTAACGCAGAGTCTTAAAGTTGTAGAGAAAACTACCAATCCAGTGCTAGAAGCAAAACACTGCGGTTCATGACTTAATGGGCAGGTCTGCCACATAAGACTGGAGGTTAGGCATGCAATCAGCACTCAGTAAATGCTTGTTGGTTTTCATTGTTTTCCTAGTCTTATGTTTTCCTAGTCTTAATCAATTGGAACCTAGGATGTGGCACTGAGTGAGCCTGACAGCCTGGAAGAGAAACAAAACAAGTAATGTGTGCATAGTAAAAACAATCTCACACAAATCTACTTCCTCTACGAAATCAGGGAATGGCGTAGACATTTTCCAGGCCTTTTCCGTTCCAAGAGTAGACTGGGTAATCCCAATAGGATAGGGAGATACAGGGCAGCCTCTCGAGCTGTTTTATAAGACCATCCACACCCCAAATTTACACTTCTGAGCTACACTGGTATATGTTAGCTCAGTTCTTTTTGTTTGTTTGTTTGTTTTTTATTCTCATCTGGAGGACTTTTGTTTTTTACACTGCTTTTAGTGAGAGAGAGAGGAACTTCAATGTGAGAGAGAAACATGATTGGTTGCCTTGTACATGACCATGACTGGCTGGGAATGGAACTGGAAACCTGGATATATGCCCTAATGGAAAATTGAACCCTGAATCTTTCAGTCTACCAGACAACACTCCAACCAAATGAGCCACACCAGCAAGTACTGTAAGCTCAGTTCTTACCTGAACTGTCAGATGCTAGCCTGAGAATTCTAAATTAAGATGGCCCTTTCCAGTTTCTGACTCCTGAATAAGTCCCAAACAGCACAAACCTTTACCCACCATATTAACTTTAGTTGCTAAACAATATCTACTTCCATAGAAGGGAAATAGATTATAAATATTAAAAACAACAACAGAAGCACACAAAATTGTGGGGCTTTTTTCTTTTTTTCTTTTTTCCTTTTTTGTTTCGTTTCATTTAATGAATACATGAGTGAAAAAAAGAGCACATATATCTGGATAGTGAAGAGTTCCTCACCCTTCTAATTTCATTCTGATCTCTACCAGCCCTAAATTCTGTGCTGGCTTGCTGACTCATTAGATTCTAGAATTCAGATTTTCATTTGGGAAGCAGGGGGTGAAGTGTAAGGTGCTGACAGTAGTCACTGACAGTATCTAACCAAGTGCAAGTTCTTATAGTCAAGAAAGAAGCATGGAAATGTGAACTAAGCCCAGGAAGACTGATTTTCCAAGCAACCTAGAGCTGAGACCTTTCTATCTGGTAAAGTGTGTTGTTAACAAATAGAACATTGCTCATGTTTAAGTTTCAGCAGAAACTTGGTTCTACTGTTATGGGTTGAATTGTATCCCTCCAAAATAAATATTGGAAGTGCTAATTCTGGTGCCTATGAATGTGACCTTATTTGCAAATAAGGTTTTTACAGATGCCAAGTTAAAATGAGGTCATACTGGACCAGCATGATTGACATCCTTATGAGAAGAGAAGAGACACAGATGCAGATATACAAGGAGAATGTCATCTGGCAACAAAAGCAGAGGTTGGAATGATGCATCTTGACATCAAGAACACAAAAGATTGCTGGCAACCACCAGAAGCTGCACAAGACAAAGGATTATTCCCTTGAGCCTTTGGAGCGAGTATAGCCTTATTTAAACCTTGATTTTGGAATTCTAGCTTTCAGGATTCTAAGAAAGTAAATTCTGCTGTTCTAAGACATCTTGTTTGTGGTACTTTATTAAATAAAGAACCTTTGATAGCTAATATATTTACTAAAGCCTTTTTTTTTAAATCCCCACCTAGAATTGTGTGAGTTTTTAGTGCATCAACTCCTGGAGAGAGGCAGTCACACCTTTACAAAAGGAGCATCAGCTCCAAATGAAGGCACTTTGTAGAATGGGAATGGATGGTGTTTTAAGTGTGGTGGAAGATACAGCCATCTGCTTGAGGAGTGACTCTGTCTTGGTTGTCCCAAAGCTGTAGAAAGAAAATTTTCCTTTAGTTGAAGATGAGATTAATAGACAATGGAGATATAATTGTAGCCAGTTTTGAAAAATTGCATATAAATGACTGTACTATGCTCAAATATTTCTAATGTTTAAATAACTTCTTACTGTGTAATTTCCTGGTTAGGTTTGCTATAGGATTTGTATATGTCTTAATGACACATAATTCACTTAAAATTTTTTTCCAGGTATATCCTGAAAGAGCACATCTGTTATTAGCATAAATAAAAATTAAACTCTAAAGGGTAGTCAGACCTGTGGACTATAGCATCCATGGAAGTGTAGAGGAGGATTTCGTTCTTTATTTTATCCTTGCATTAAGCACATTTTTAAAATAAGCATATATTAATTTTATACTTCTTTTTTCCTATGAAAGTTGAAACTTTTATTAAAAATATGAACCCTGTTGTATACAAGGCATTATTACTAGAGATCAAAATTTATAATAATGAAATTTTGAAGTTTCTTACAATCTAATGCTGCATAGGCTTTGAATTTTTTATGTTGGTAAAATACATGTAATATAAAGTTTACTATTTTAACCATTTTTAAGTGTACAGTTCAGCGGCATTAAGTATATTTGCAATGGTGTGCAACCATTGTTAACATCCATCTCCAGAACTTTTTTCATCATGCCAAACTGAAACTCTATAGCCATTACACAGTAATTCCCCCTTCCCTCAGTTTCTGGCAACCACCATTCTATTTTTCTGTCTCTAGGAATTTGACTACTCTAGGTACCTCATATAAATAGGATCATATGATATAATTATTTTTGTGTCTAGCTTATTTCACATAGCACGTGTCAGAACTTCCTCCTTTTAAGCCTGAACAATATTCCATTGTGTGTGCGTGTCATATTTTTTTTAAATCAATTCATCCATCAATGTACACTTACTTGGGTTGTTTCCCCTTTTGGCTAGTGTGAATAATGCTGTTGTAAACATGGTTATACAAATGCTTCTTTGGGCCTCTACTTTCAAATATTTGGGCATACACCCAGAAGTGGAATTGCTGTATCATATGGTAATTTTACATTTAATTTTTTGACAAACCATTATACTGTACTGTATTTTCTAAATGTTTCTTATAATGCTTGTTTTCTAAGAACACAGGTTGATTAATTTTAGAAAAGCTTTTTAAAATTTTGCTAACACATGTAGAAGACACAACCTTTCCTTCAAGATAGATCATCTGGGGAAAGGTATGCAATTAATATAACACATGAGTTCACAAACACCAGTTAGAGTTAATGGTACTGGAGGAATACAATCCCCACTTCCACTTCTATTTTATTTTTTAAGACTTTATTTATTTATTTTTAGAGGGAGGGAGGGAGGGAGAGGGAGGGAGGAGGGAGAGAGAAAGAGGGAGAGAAACATCAATATGTGGTTGTCTCATGCATCCCTACTGGGGACCTGGCCTGCAACCCAGGCACGTGCCCTAGACTGAGTGAACCAGCAAACCTTTGGTTCACTAGCTCGTGCTCAATCCACTGAGCCACACCAGACAGGGCATCTTTCACTTCTATTTTAGTCAGGAGAGGTTCCTAGAGGAGATGCAATGTAAGATCTTTAAGAGATCATTGAGACCAGGGTTTCTCAAACTTTATTAGGCATAGAAATCAACTGGGGATCTTGTTAAAATGCAGGTTCTGATTCAGAATGTCAGGTCTGGTGCCCCTAATTTTATAGTTCTAACAAGCTCCCCAGTGATATCAAACTCTTCACTGATGGAGATGGTGATCATCCACAGACCACATTTTGTGAGTGGCAAGCATTTAGACTTCCGTTTCCAACAGTGTGCCAAACCACAGACCCTTAAAAATGCT